ATAGAGGCCTTTTTGGCTGGGAAAACCTCTTTAACGCTGAAAAAGTATTTTCCCTGTAACTTGTTTTTCGACAACGCTAGAGACCTGTGGTTATCACCATTGGATTCAGCGTCCAAAACTGCATCTAGTGATCTGTATCTCACAGCTGGCGCCGCAAGTCGATGTAATGATAGTAGATTCTTAATGGAAACACAGTTATCAACAAGTGTGATAGTGTACAAGAAGAATCACAAGTCTTTTAAAGAAGCCAATCCTTATTGGTACAACTTATGAATATCAAACATAATTTCAGAAAAGCTTGAAACCAATGCAAGAATTTATCAAAGAATGTGTGCCTTAAATACTTCAGAAGTAGATGCTCTTCATGCAACTAGTGATCTCATTATCCGTGTCATTGGTGATACGTCCTTGAGACAAATCATTGCAATTTAAGCCAATATTACATCTCGACAGAATTTGATCAACAATTTAGTGAATCCAAGGATACTATGCAAATACGAGACAACTGTGTTTCCTTTGATTTTCAAAAACAAAAATATTTTTTTCTCGAAAAATGTGTGACTGCCAAAACGTTTGTAAAAGCCGGCAGTAAATTATTATTTGCAACTTGTGTATCCCGCTATGTTTTATCACAAAATTCAGCCATTTCAGAGGATATGAACTTGACCGATTCGGCTATAGTAAGACGAACAGAACAATTAATACAAGAATTGAAACGACGAAATTATATTTATTCATTACTTGATGGTGTTTATGATGGTCTTGAAACAAGTTTCTTTGTCATTTTAGATAAACTAGATAGACATAAAACTGACCGCAAACATTTCTTGAAGTTAGGTAGAAAATTTAACCAAGACAGTATTATTTATGTACGGGATATTAACCAAGAATCATTGATCGTTCAACAGTTGATTTATACAATAGGTAAATATGAAAACAAATATATTGTCGGCAAAGGTTATCAAAAACTATCACCAATTGATACCGACAATTATAGTACAATTAAACTGTGTCCAAATGAAACTTTTAAATTTTTATTTTACTCACATGTATAACCAATCAAGCTCATTACAAAGCAAACGAACTTGCTCAACATCATAAACGTAATAAACAAGCAAATATCAATAGAAATAACATAAGTCCTACAATAAAAGTAATTATTTAAACGACAAAAAATGACATTGTTTCTGTTATGCCACGAGGAAAGTATTTTAAGTGATAAATCACTTTTTGCAGAAAAGTCATGAAGTTATGGGTAATCGGTGATGCTAATTTAAAATATGACGGTAGGATTGATTTCGCAGAAAGAGAATAAATGGTTATTGATTAGAGCTGAGTAAACATAGTTGAAATTTTGTTTCCAACTCTGTTCGTTTGTCTTCAGACTAACTTTGCATACTTTTGTCTTATAGGATAATAAACATCAAGTCAGCTCTCTCAGAATATGTCAGAAAAAGCCGAGAAATAATAGCAAAGCTGTCGAAACGTACGCATTTTCCCCACTGTATCATATTGAAAGCGTGAAACATATAAAATATATAACCACACAAATCGCAATTAACGCTACTTGTGATTAAGAATGAAAGAGGAAAATGGCATCTGCGAAAACTTTTATAAAACGAACAAGATAAAAAGGAAACACGTTTTTGAAGAGTTCTAAGAAATGATTTACCTTGCTTTGTGTTCTGAAGTAAAAACAATACACCCCTGGTGGGGATCGAACCCACGAACTTCTGGTTAGAAGCCAGACGCGATAGTCCACTTCGCCACAGGGGCTACTCTCTGTAATGTTTTGCGCCACTGTTCTAGATACTTAAAGATGTAATCTTTAACACTAAGGTACCATACACAGATTTTATTGACACATTTTGTCAGATGGTATATTTGAAAAAGTTTCTTCTACTCTAGAACCGTTTTCCAAGTACTAACTAGGTATGCACCGGTATCGGTATACCGAATACCGAAAATACCGAACTTCGGTATATACCGATACCGAAAATACCGACTTTTTTTTACTTGGAATTTTTTGGATTTTTTCATTCGAAATGAGGTATTTTAGCATCCTGGACAAGCAGAACGTATAAACAACACTCAGCTGTGTATTTTGAGCATGTGCAGATAGAAAGAAAAGAAAAACTTTG